TCGTATGAAAGTGAATAAAGAAAAATATTTTCTAAGTTATTTATTTATTTGACAATGCTAAATTATAGGTATCTAGCAGGATATAGTATTTTTAGTAACTAATTTTTTAAGTTACAATCTTTTGTACACAAGACTGTCCTATTACAACTGATGTATGTACAAATTAAAAAAGTTGAATAAAACAATAAATATTAAAGCAACTCAATTTTACCATCTCTAAATAGTATTTAAATATTCAGACATCAAAAACTAAATAACAATAAAGTATTAAAATTAATGAAGAAACTATTCACACAAAAGTTTAGTAAATTGTGACCAAGGAATATTGGAATCAAACTCTCCTATTTTGTTTCAACACGCTAATATCGTAGTTCAATAATTTTTTTTCTGCGCGTAAAAGGTTACTTTCAGCTCGCACTACATCGATCTCATGACGCATACGCTTCATCTCTTCCTGTACCATCAAAACTTGCTTTCGAGCTTCATCCAGATCTTTAAGCGCTTGATCGCGCTCTTTGGTCAATTCAGTGATAAGTTGACCTCGAGCCAATAAGTGGTTCTGAAGCATGTCTGTAAGTTGTGTAGTAGTAAATTGAGACGCATTTTCCAAATCTAAATGTGCAATTGACGAAGAAGATTGTGTATTATTAGAGGCATGGTTCTGTAATATATTTTCGTTCGCGGTGGCATCATTTTCTTCCACGTCCTCGTCTGTTACAGTCAATGGAGTATCTACACGTGAAATATTGTCTTCCGCAGTGTTATTATTAACATCGTTATTTACTGTAATCGAAACGCAAGACTGTTTAGCAGCACGTTCTTCACGCAATTCTGCTGCTACAGATTCAAGCCATGTAGGATCGAAGTCATTTTCGGTTAGAACAATTTCATCACTTTGAACTAAAACCAAAGATGATTCGATGTATTCACCATTGACGTTTAAATTGTTGTCAGTTCGTAATCTCTTTGAGGAATGTTCAGTAACTGATGAGGTAGAACGAGAGTTCTGTTGTGTAATATCACGAGAATTATTATTAACATTACTTTCGTCATTGTCTCGTAGGTGCTTTCTTGAATTTTTAGTTGAATTTGTAAAAGTTTGAACTATGTCATCATCATTTGTTTCATCCTC